AGTCTCGTTTCCATCCTTAAAAACGGCTTTCTGAGGTGCCTCACTTGAGGCTCTTCCTTCCGATGACAGTGTTGCCGTTTCTGATCCTCTAGGGTTGGTCCTCACAGCAGCGTCAAGCGGGTTTTGTAGCACTGCTGCCGAGGAAGGACCTGGAGAAATGGCCCCTCTTAGATATCAAAAGATAGTAGAAAATGCCCTCACTTCAAGGGAGGCAGAGGTCCACTGTGACAGAAATTGCTAGACTTTTCACGCTAAGTAAGGCAGGTGATGGCGTCGCCTTGCAGCAGTCTGGCGCTGGCTTCTGGTTGTGGCTGATCTTGGTGGCTTCCGTGGCCCTCGCTGGCCTCTCCACGGAGAAACCCTGCCTGTGTCCCAGCTTTCCCTCCATTACTTCTTGGAGATGCTCCGTTGGGCAAGAGGCATGTATGTACCTGCAGACTGGTACCAAAATCAACCAATGAAAAGACTAAATCCTTGTTGATGGAATTTTTTTTTTGAATAATTATTTCCAAGATGCTGCAGAAAGTTGTTATCTTCTGTTTGAGCTTCCTGAGGTAAATCTTTCAACACACTCTTTTGCAAGAAGTATATTCGGAAGAGAGAGAGAGAGAAAAAAAAAATCAGTGTTAGTTAGAAATCAAAAGTGTTGTAAGAGTATTAAGAGTAGTGTTTCCAGCTATTTAAACCCTCTAAAACTAGGGCATTTTTACATGTTGCTGCTCTTGGTTTTCTCAAGAGGAAGAGGTAATTTTTAAAGTAATGCTTAGAGGCAGTGGTTAAACTCTCTGCAGAGTGTGTTGCATCCACATGTACTCAATAAATGATGTATCTACTAACAATATTTCCTCCTCAAATATCTAGATAAGCTGAATATGGGATATAGCTGCTAGTTTACAAATATTTGCGGAATCGTGCACAGCGCTAGGGAATGTGAGTGGTAAAACTCCAGGACATTAAAACTGAATGCAATAAACTTAACCCTATGCAGATGTGGCTGGTGTTGCATATAATGTTATTTAGGAATTTTTTTTCTGAAATACTTGTTGCAATCTACATACAAAATGTAGCTAACACAGTTTGTTATCAAATAACACTGTTGTCACTGAACATTTCTTAGAGCTACTTTGCTAACTAATGTGCCTTTGGTTGACGTGACTGTTGTAAGATCTAAAACATCTCCTAGATGTAGCTAAAAACATAATGTTGCTTCCTCAAAGCACGCTTCCTACAAGACCTGGCATGGAAATACTTTTTGTATTACAAGAACAGAATAATTCCAAGAATGTAATTGGTTATCTTTGATACTGTTTCCTCTGAAAGAAATGCTATGAAAAAAAATCAAATAATTTTAAGATTTATGGTCAGGTCTTGTCCCATTTCCCGTATTAAAATGTTTCTTTCGAGATGGGCTTTTCTTTGTTAACAAGTTTCCTTTAATCTGGACATTCAAAACTAAATATCTGAGAGCAGTTCCTAAAACCATATCTGTGTGTAAGTGACTGTGAACATAGTTTCATCTCACTGCAAACGGGTTAGCTGAGGTAGTAAAGTGTAAGGGCTGAACCAAAACTTGGCACTTACAAGAAGACAGGGAGAAGCTCCTGCGTTCCTGAATCGTACCTTTAACTGTAGGCCATCATGCCTGGGACTACTGACAGATGGAGGATGGAGGGATAAAGTGGAAGTTGATTCAACAGCAGAATATGTCAAGAATGGAAAATATGAATGAAGCACTTGGTGGGGGGAATCCAAGTATTGTGACCTAAAGGAGTTTCTAAAAGCGGTTACAAGGTGAAATAGATTAGAAGCATCGTGATCCCAAATGGCAATTTATTCGAGAAAGTTTCATTCTCTTCAATGTTGAGAGTGGATCTGAAGCAGTTCAAGATGTACTCCTGCTTAGAGGTGAAGGCAGAAGAAGTCTTGGTGAGAAGGGAAGCTATGAAAAAAAATCAAATAATTTTAAGATTTATGGTCAGGTCTTGTCCCATTTCCCCAAGTTAAGGTAACTGAGAAAGACTGAAGGAGAAGATGGTAGGAAAGATTTTGGTAGCTAACATGGTCCTAACTGAGTTTGGTGGGAAGACCCTCCCTCATTGTGTTTTGGATTGGAGCCTTGAAAATAGGGCACGATTATGCCTTACAGGAGATCCTGTTAATAATTATGGTTGTGTTTAGTGATTTCTGCATGCGTAGAGGTTGTAATTGTTGGAATGAAAAGAATATGACAAAGAACACATAGGGGTGTTTGTGCATGCAGTTTTTTAATTTTCATAGGTGCTTTGGCTTAACTAGCTTAAAATCTGCCTGTTGTCTCAGACGTGATGTGCTGTGATGTTCTTTTATAGAAGTCTTTAATATAGAATGACTATATGCTACAATGCTGCTTGTTGACAACTCATTAATAACCCTGTAAAAAGCAGTGAGCTTACTAAGTAGGAAATTTGAAATCTTCTTTTTAGTCTGTGAATGAAGTGTCTTAGTTATAGCCATTTAAATGGATTGTTGTTGTCTTTGAAAGGAATTCAGAATGGCAGCTTATAATGCTTCATCTACAATACCTTCAGCTCAGAACAGAAGACCGCGCAGTATGAAGTGTGGACCATCCAGTAAGTTATTTATTGTTTCTATCTGAAATAAATTTTTTTCGTTTGTATTTTGCACCATTTAGTTAGTAAAGAAAAATATCAATAAAAAGCTATCATAGACCTTCAAATAAGGGGGCCGAGCTTGATTGGCCTTGAAGGGCTGCAAGTGTATGGCAATTAATCATGTGGTCTGTACTAGCCTTACATTCAAACTAGAAGCACGTTTAATCATTTGAAAGGGCATCTTTAATAGTAGTTTCTTTCAGACAAAGAAATTTCACCAGGCCAGTCTGTCCGTTTTTTGAGATATTTTAAAATGTGCATAGATGCCTAGAAGCAAATAAATCATCTGTTCTGTACCTGCTATGTGGTGGGAAACATTTTTGTTGTTGTTATTACATTTCCTCAGGAAAAGAAAAAGTATGGGTACGCTGTTTTTAATCTATAGGTTAGCTGGATGAGGTGCCTTTAGCCATGAACTTGCAGTACTAGTCAAGTATTTTAAAGAGCTTGCGTCTTGATATTGTTATTCAATCTTACCTTCAGCAATTAAGTGAACAGGCTTTAATTTCTTTACTCAAGGTTAAAAGTCACCTACATTAGCTCTTCTGTAAAACTCGTTTCATATTTGTCTCGTATAAAGGATGTAAAGAAATTCAAAATAATTTTAGTTGGAAATGTTGTAAAACATTGAGTTTTCCTTCAGTAAGTGTGCAGGGTTGAACTGCACTTTTGGCTTACCTAATAGCGAATACTCTGGGTCTTTATTTCCCCCCTGCCCTGACTTTATAGAGCAAAATGTAAGGCTGGTAGGTGGACAGGACTCCTAGCAAATGTGGTTAGAGAGGTGGTATCTCCAAAAACTTTTGATTTCGGTGTTAACAAGCACGTTGAAACACTGTTTTGAGATGCTTTTGAGGAGTGTATCCCTGAATGCAAAGGTAAAAAGAGTAGGAGGATCTTATTTAAATAAATAAAAACTTATTAATATGAATTGTAATTAATGTGTATATTGTTATGAACCTCTCTACTCCAGGAAATAAACCTAGAAATAGAGCCTGAATTGTAATTAATGTGTATATTGTTAGGAACCTCTCTACTCCAGGAGATAAACTTACCCTAGAAATAGAGCAGTGGATACTAGTACAACTCCCTCTGCTCTGAAGGGTTGAACAAGATTATTGACCAGAAGTTTTCTTAAATCTATTTATCTCCTTTACCAAATAAAGCATCTGTCAAAGAGGTACAGAACATGCTAAGCAATTTGTTACTGTAATCCTTGCACATTTTAAGTGCAGAATTGTTCAACTCCCTATATTTGACTTTGCCAAGTGACTTTTACTTTGATGGGCCTAATGGATTTCATGTTCTTTTCTCAGGATCACCATCTGACAAAAAGACTTTTTAACTGAACTCTTGCAAAAGTTTTATGTGCAAGTCTACCACTTCTTAACCAGGCCTGTGTGTGTTTTGCTTTTAAGAAAGGGCAGGACAAACCTAGAAAGAGGGAGAATGAAGCCGGTATTAGGTATTTGATGATAACTTGTCACATGTGTAAGCTTTTAAAGGAGATGTGGAATTAAGTTCGTTCCCCTGCTTAGGTACCATGGGATAAATTTACTGTTTTCCCTCTTATAATCCTGTACTAATACCTGATATGACATAAGGTTTTTTCATTCCAAATGTGCTAACTTTGGCAATACAGTGTTGTTAAAGAGGTGCTTTAAAAATTACTACTGAGTGTCCATACTTAAATAAAGTGATGATCATTAAATCCTTTAAACCCACATTTCATGAGAAAGCAGGGCCATGGCAACACACATTGTGAACCCTTGGAACAATAGTGTCATTTTGACCTGTCTGAAGGGAGATGCCAACTGCTACACTTGAACCGGGGTTTGCACTGATGCAGGGTTGTCTGGAATACTAGGTGATTGATTTTTAATTTTTTATCAGCCAATAAGGTATGTTTTACTTCTTTCACAAGTCTAGTGATGAGTTATATGTATGAAAATTATTAATATTATTTTTTGATCACGTCCTTTCCTGTGTAGCTCTAACTGAACTTGTTTTATGTGGGCTTTTCATATGAAAGGTGCATGGTTTATAACTCATTAGAGATCTTCACCTTTTCCTTGTGTTACTAAAGTTATGCAGTTTAGAAAGCAATCTAATGTCCGGTGTATTTCAGAGGAACAAAGAAGCTTGGTTTAGTAGGAGTAAATATGAAATTAAGATAAAATGAAAGAAATTCTTGTTAGTTTCTTTAAATATGAGAACCAGAGCAGTTGACAACAGATAACACTTTGCTTACATAGCTATTAAAGCTTTTAACTTCCCTCCACACCTATCTATTTTTCATATTAAGTTTAAAACAAACAAGATTCAAAAGCATATTAGGAATTTTGGATCAGCAAAGCAAATTGTTAATGCAGGTGAGTTTAACACGACTGTTGACAGGTCCTAGGAGCCTAAGATAAGGTCCTAAGAGATTTTAAACCTTCTTCCAGTAAAGCGATGTAGCAGGCATGAATCTTTAATGATGCAGGTCACTACTACTGTAGAAGGAAACTCGTCTCTTATAATAAGAACATTTAAAGATTGATTTCAAGAGATGCATCAGAGCAGAAAATCTGCAGCTAACTGGAAGTTTCTGAGCAGCGAAGGATTAAAATAACATCCTACTCATTCACCGAAGAATCTCAAAAAGCAAAATTTTGCATCCTGTTGTAATGA